GTGCATGTCCCTAGTTCTGAGTTTAGGATGGAGGCTTATTGATGAAGAAACTGAAAATGATTAGATCTAGGACACTATTCTGAGGAACTAGTGCAGTGGTGTCCTGGACCTGAGATAATTGACCTCCAACAACCACAACCATCTTTCTTTGTGCAAGGATGACTCCAACCAGCATAATTTTTCCCGACTTCCATTGACTGCAGTTTTGTTAGGGCTTCTTGATGCCATCCTCAGTTAAATGCTTCCTGGATATCAAAAGAAGTTATGAAAATTAGAAACAGGTGTTGAAAGATTAAACTCCTCAAGATAGCTTTGCCATTTTATATGATCATAGCTGATCTCATCTCGACCTCAATTCCATTTTCCTGCCCATTCCCCATAACAGTTCATCCTGTTACTAATTAAAACGGATTTAATAGGGGCGATTTAATAATGGTAAATGAGGAGATGGCCGAGGCATTGAATAGGTATTTTGTGTCAGTCTTCATAGTGGAAGACACAATAATGTACCAATAATTGATGACAAGGAGGCTATGGCAGGTGAGGACCTAGAAATGATCATTATCATCAAAGAGGTAGTGTTAGGGAAGCAACTGTGTCTAAAGGTAGATAAGTCTCCTGGCCCTAATGGAATGCATCCCTCGGAGCTAAAAGAGATGGAGGGGGAAATAGTAAATGCGCTCGTGGTAATTTACCAAAATTTGATGTACTCTGGAGCAGTTCTGGCAGATTGGAAAACAGCAAATATGACACCACTGTTTTAAACAGGGAGGTAGACAAAAGGTGGGTAACAATAGGTCCGTTAGCTTAACTTCTGTAGTGGGGAAAATGCATGAATCTATAATCAAGGAAGAAATAGCGAGACATCTAAATAGAAATTGTCGCACGAGGCAGATGCAGCATGGGTTCATTAAAGGCAGGTCACATTTAACTAATTTACTGGAATTCTCTGAGGACATTGCAAGCACAGTGGACAACAGGGAACCGGTGGATGTGGTGTATCTTGATTTCCAGAAGGCACTCAACAAGGTGCCACACAAAAGGCTGCTGCAGAAGATAAAGGTGCATGCATTATGGGTAACATATTAGCATGGAGAGAAGATTGGTTAACTAACAGAAAGCAAAGAATGAGGACAAATCGGTGTTGTTCTGAATGGCGATCAGTTGCTAGTAGTGTGCCTCAGGGATCAGTGTTGGGATCACAACTGTTTGCAATTTACCCTAGATGATTTAGAGTTGGGGTCCAAGTGTAATGTGTCAAAGTTCACAGATGACACTAAAATAAGTGGTAGTGCAAAGTGTGCAGAGGACACTGAAAGTCTACAGAGGGGTATAGATAGGTTAAGTGAGTGGGCAAAGGTCTGGCAGATGGAGTACAATTTTGGTAGATGTGAGGTCATCCATTTTGGTAGGAATAACAGCAAAATGGACTGTTATTTAGATGGTGAAAAATTGCAGCATGCTGCTGTGCAGAGGGACCTGGGTGTCCTTGTGCATGAATCACAAAAAATTGGTTTGCAGATAATTAAAAAGGCAAATGGAATATTGTCCTTCATTGTTAGAGGGATGGAGTTTAAAAACAGGGAGGTTATTGCTAGAGCTGTATCGGGTGCTGGTGAGACCACACCTGGAGTACTGTGGATAGTTTTGGTCTCCTCACTTGAAAAAGGATGACTGGCACTGAAAGGAGTGCAGAGGAGGTCACCAGGTTGATTCCGGAATTGAGAGATTTGGCTTATGAGGAGAGATTGATGAGACTGGGACTGTACTCCTTGGAATTTAGAAGAATATGGGGCAAATCTTATAGAAACATATCAAATTATGAAGGGAATAGATAAGATAGAAGCAGGAAGGTTGTTTCCACTGGTGGGTGAAACTGGAACTAGGGGCATAGCCTAAAAATAAGGGGGAGCAGATTTAGGACTGAGTTGAGGAGGAATTTCTTCACCCAAAAGGGTTGTGAATCTGTGGAATTCCCTGCTCAGTGAGGCTGTTGAGGCTACCCTGTTGAATGTTTTTAAGGTAAAGATAGAAAGATTTTTGAACAGTTAAGGAATTAAGGGTTATGGTGAAGGGGCACGTAAGTGGAGCTGAGTCCAGAAAGATCAGCCATGACCTTATTGAATGGCAGAGCAGTCTCCACAGGCCAGATGGCCTACTCCTGCTCCTATTTCTAATGTTCTCATGTTCTAAAAGTCTGTCTATCTCTTCCTTAAGTTTACTCACTGTTCCAGCATCCACTGCACTCTGGGGTGGTGGCTTCTACATGACCCTTTGACAGAAATAATTTCTCTTCATCTCTGTTTTAAATCTGCTACTCCTTATCCTAAAACCATGACTTCTCATTCTAGATTGTCCACATGAGGAAACATCCTCTCTATGTCTGCTTTGTCAATCCCCCTTAGCATCTTATATCCCTGAATTAGACCTGCTCTCATTCTTATAAACTCCTGAGAATATAGCACTAAACTGTTCAATCTGACTGGCGGCAAGAAGGAGAGCAGACAGCCTGGGGTGGCCAGCAGAAAGAGTGGGAGCAGACAGCCTGGGGTGGCCAGCAGAAAGAGCGGGAGCAGACA